AACTCTCAAACTTTTGTATTTACATAAATAATTATATGATTTACCTAACTAGTGTAAAATTAATATTTATTTCTATCCAATATATATTAACCAATACAAAGAAATTTTTCCTTTAAAAATGTATTAAATTATGAGTCTATTCGATAATGTTAGTTGATTTAACAGCGGTTTGTTGTTTTACCAGAGTTTATGTCATACCTTGTCTCTAACTATCAGAGGAATTGTCCACTTTGAATCAAGCTAATTTCACTTCATCCTGGATTGACAAGATCCGCATGATTTTGTCCCACAAATGAAATGGAGAACTTTCCGAGAGGTTACTCATCCTAGGATTTTCCTTAAGCGAGCATGCTTAACACTAGAGTTCTTCCAACTCTCTAGGTCATTCCACAAAAAGGCGTCTTTGATAATTAGTTTCCTTTGTTTCAATATGATTCAATTCACTCTCATGTCCCTCATTCCAATACCTAGATAGCTTGTCGTCGTATAAGCTAGCTAGGAGTTTTGCTCTATCCGTTCTCATCAAACTGCTTTACTAGGTTGGGATGTCATTGACCCATCAGCTTTCGCCTGGTTCGTCCTCAAACCATGCATCTACTAGGAACAGTTCGACTTTAATACCAATTTTCATGCCCTGACTCAAACAACCAAAGGGATTGTCTACTTTGGGTCAAGTCAATTCCACCCATCCTGGATTGACAAGATCCGCTTGGTTTTGTCCCGCAAGTGAAATGGGGAACTTTCTAAGAGGTCACTCATTCTAAGATTTTGCTTAAACGAGCACGCTTAATCCTGGAATTCTTCTAACTCTCCGGCGATTCCACCAAAAGGCATCTTTGATGATTAGTTTTCCGTATTTCAATATATGATTCAGTTCATTCTTGTGTCCTGCATTCCACTATCCTAGCTAGCTTGCCATCCTAAAATGAAGCCAAGAACTTTGCTCAACCTGTCCTCATTGGATTGCTTTCTCCAGTCGGAATGTCACAGTTTAGTTGTTTGAATAGCTAGTAGGTGCTTGAATAGCTAGTAGGTGCTTGAATAGCTAGTAGGTGCTTGAATAGTTTTTCATAAAATGTTAAAATATAAACATTATAGGGGACTAACATTTTGTAATACACTACATCAATCTCTAAAAGATAGTTCAACCGTTATATTACCGAACACTATAAAAAATAACATTTCACATATGACGGATCAAAACACTGTAAGTTACTTAAAAAGTTGTTGTAATTCAACTTCTTAAATATATATTTATAAGCTGAACCAAGCCATCAGCTTTTTAAAGCTGCGGTTGTTGGTCAATTTGGATTGGTTCAGATCCCCAGGTAGTTCATGGATACTCCTACTTATGATGCTAATATGGCATGTAGTCTTTCTTCCGGTAAACACAACTCTCTCCATCCACTTATATATGTTGTTTAAGGTTTCTATACTGTAATTAAAGAAATAACTAAATCACCTAAATTGGAACAAGAATAATTTTATTCTTTATCTCTCTAAAATGCCATATATCTCTCCTAATTACTCTGATAAGAGAGAGATGAGGTGATAAATTGCATTTTAGGAAACTGTAGACTAATCATTGTGTTTAGTTGAAATAACAGTAAAATTAGAATTAATTAATTAATTTTCAAAATGAAAAATAATTTTGGACAAAATAAATTCTATAAAACGGCATATAAAAATGGAGAGAAACAGTATCATCATCTTAGAGAGATTTGTTTTCCTGCTAATTGCATGTGAACATCTATTGGCGATTCATTTATCTTTCTGCTACTTTTTTTTTTTTTTTTTTTTTTTTTATTCTTTCTGCTTTACTTTTTTTTTTTTTTTTTTTTTTTGAAGAAAACGTTTTGCTACTATTTAATGTATTTATAATTATTATTATTCTAGGTTACTAAATGTGGGTGATAGGAATGTAATATAACCCGATTTTTGTATATCACATTTGTTCAATTTTCTGATTTTAAGGATTCTTTGTTAACCTTTTGAGCAGCTTGTGAAAACTTATAAAATGAAAAAGAGGTGTTTAATTGATGGTTGCTTTTATACTTTTGCTCTCCTTTGATACATAAAAAAAACAAGTAAAAAAAAAAAAAAACAAAAAAAAAAAAAAGCAATAGCCTAAGTAAAAGAATTAATAATTTTTTGGTATAAAAAAAAAAAAAAAAAAAAAAAAAAAAAAAAAAAAGCAATAGCCTAGTAAAGAATAATAATTTTGGTATAAAGCACTATCAAGAAGCTGTTAGAATAGATTTTTTCTTTACTATGAGTATCCTCGTGCTCTTTGAGTATGATATTAATTTAATTTCAAGATTCATAGTTGTTCCTATTTATTAGTATTTTTTCATATATCAAACTCTTGACATTGCAGAAGTTATTTATTAAATTCAAACGTGTCTTACTCATTGTATTACTCTTTATAAATTCGAGGAAATGGAATTTGAATCATGTAATTTAACTATTTAATAAATTTGTGAAATTTCTTTATTTGATTAAGGAAAAATATGCCACAATCTATGTAATTGATAAATTGCTTTAATTCCACCATTTGCAAAAAGAGAGAAAGATCCCATGGAGGGGTAGAAGCGGGGTGGGTACCTGCGAATTTTGAACTACCCGTAACCGTATCAGTTTAAAATTTTACTATCCGTATCCGTTCTAAACCCATTTAAATATCCATTTAAATACCCATATCTGAACGAACTTAAAATTTTACTATCCGTATTGTCCAAAATTTATTTAAAGTACTTCTTAAACGGATAAGGTATCCATCCATTTTAAACTATCCAAATTCAAACTTATTTGAAATGCATTTTTTATTAATAAATGGGTAGAGTATCCACGCGTACCCATGGCCAAAACCGTTTATTATAATAGATAATCAGTAGCGGGTACCCAAAGTCTAATACACATATCCTACATGTATCCGTTACGGGTAGTAACTTCATATTTATCTAGAATCCATTTATAACTATCTGTACCCTCATTGAATGGATCGGAGCAGAGCGAGTACCCTAAAATACCCATCTCTCTTCCATCTCTAATCCCACCTCAAAAATGAAATTTCTCAATTTACTGTTCCTTCCATTCCATTTTGTTTGCTTGTTATTCTTTTTTGGAATGTCTGAAAATATTTATAATGTTTCTAAATTTATATATTTAAATAATTATTTTTTCATAATAACTTTTATAATTGTTCATTAAATGAATTATTTTCATTAATATCTTAATGAGTTAAGAGTAAAAAAAAAGTAAAATACTTTTTGTAACTAAATTCTCAGTATGCTACTTTGTTAAACCATGCAAATAAAATGAGATGGATAGAGTATTTTTTATTAGTAATGGAATGTTAGCCACGGATTTTATTTTAAAACACTCTTCAAATTTATTGATTTGTATTTTTCAATTAAATAATAGAATGAGACTAGATTTCATATTATATGAAATGTTATGGATATTATGTACTGTCAATCTAAAAGAACTTGAAATTTCTTTATAAATGAATTTCTTAAAAAAAAAAAAATTACACACCATCACCTACCAAACTCACCTACTCATGGATTTAACCATGAAATCTCAAATTTTGATCTGAACCTAAATTTGTAATGTCTAAAATAAATTTTCTACCCGAAGTAGGTTTCTTCTTCTCATATTAAACTGAACTCTTTTTTAAATATATACTCCACTTACGAAAATTGTAATTTGTGAAGTTTGCGTAGCTCTAACAAAAAATATCAACATTTTTGTATAAAAAGCATCAAATTCTATTCCTTGTCTTTCCAAGGACAAAGAGAATCAATGCCCAAAGCAATTAATGTTGTCAAAAACATTTTTTATTTGACTGTGAAATTGAAAACCAATGGTAAATTATTTTCTAGTGTTTGAACTATATTGAAAATTATTTTGGTTAAATTTTTTAAGATTAAAATTAATACTTCATCCGTGCTATAATCTGTGTCTTACTTTGACTTGTACATAGATTAAAAAAATTAGTTAAAATAGTTAAACTATAATTTTTTTTCTTATTTTTTCCTAATATATCCTTACGTTAATGTTCATTAAAATTAAATGATCCATATTAAATTATTCTTGAAATTAGTCAACTACTTAATATAAGCCAATTAAATAAGTTTTTATTGTAAGATTAAAGATTGATACGTTAATTTTGCTAATATCAAAATTAATTAACGACTCTATAGTAATTTAACTATTATATTTCTTAAAAAAAACATATTAAATAAGGATAAGAGAGTAAACTTTTAAATATTCTTTATTTATAAAAAAGGAAACAACACAATAATTTAGGATGGACGAAAAAACAAAAATAGACAAAAATTGTGAGACCGAGTAATTAACAATTATTTCCTCGTCCTAAATGTTTTCTCCTATTGATGTTTACACAAAATTTAAAAAATAAGTTAATTATTGTACTATATCATATAAAATATCTCTATATTTTCCAAAATTGTCTTCCTCAAAAATAAAATGGTTAAGTAAATATTCTTTTAAGTCAATTGGACAAATAGTTTGAGACATCTAAAAATAAGAATATAGATAAGTATTTTGACACAAAGAGAGCAATAATTAAGGAAAACCAAATAATCACTTTTTTTTTTTTACTTTGCTTTTACTATCTCTGTTCTATAATACTTGTCACATTTTAGAAAATAATTTATGTCAAAATACTTGTCATATATATTTGTGATTTTAAAGAGTGATAAATTTTTTTTTTTATATGTTTACCCTTTGTATACAACTCAATAATTATTATTTCAATTTAATAATTTTTTAGATAATTCACATTAAATTAAAGATAATATAATCAATTTACTCAATATTTATTATAATTTAGATAAATTTAATAATTTTCTGAAGGAATGTGAAATTTCGAATATCACAAGTGATATGGAATAAAGGCACTACTCTCTCCGCGTCATTTTATTTGCATGATTTGATAAAATATACATATTAAAAATCTAGTCAATAAAAATTATTTTAATCATATTTAGAAATCTTTCAAATGTTTTATACATTCAAAAAAAATAACAATCAAACAAAATGAAAATGCAGAGTAGCTAATTATATTTCTATATAAAGCAAAAGAAGCAAATGCGTAATGCTGAAAGTCCAAAAACGTTGACTATGGGGATAAGAGAAATCGAAATTGCCGGCCAAACGTTGACAATACACGAACTCGACGATCTCTGCGACACTATTACCGGCCGCCCATTCACCGGCTCATGGCTTTGGGACTCGGCGTTGGTCCTCTCTCAGTGGCTCGTCACTTCTCAGCTAGATTTCAAAGGTAAGTCCGTACTCGAGCTTGGCGCCGGCACCGGTCTTCCCGGCTTGACGGCTGCTCGTCTTGGTGCTAGCCTGGTTGTCCTAACTGACATTGCTCCATTACAAAATGAAAATGCAGAGTAGCTAATTATATTTCTATATAAAGCAAAAGAAGCAAATGCGTAATGCTGAAAGTCCAAAAACGTTGACTATGGGGATAAGAGAAATCGAAATTGCTTGTCCTAACTGACATTGCTCCATTACAAAATGAAAATGCAGAGTAGGCTAATTACAAAATGAAAATGCAGAGTAGCTAATTATATTTCTATATAAAGCAAAAGAAGCAAATGCGTAATGCTGAAAGTCCAAAAACGTTGACTATGGGGATAAGAGAAATCGAAATTGCAGGCCAAACGTTGACAATACACGAACTCGACGATCTCTGCGACACTATTACCGGCCGCCCATTCACCGGCTCATGGCTTTGGGACTCGGCGTTGGTCCTCTCTCAGTGGCTCGTCACTTCTCAGCTAGATTTCAAAGGTAAGTCCGTACTCGAGCTTGGCGCCGGCACCGGTCTTCCCGGCTTGACGGCTGCTCGTCTTGGTGCTAGCCTGGTTGTCCTAACTGACATTGCTCCATTACTTCCCGGCTTGTTAAAGAATGTTGAGGTGAACGTGTTGGCGAACCGAGTCATGGTGAGGGAGCTAGCGTGGGGATCGGAGGAGTTACTGAGTCAAATATCAGAGTTGGGCGAGTTCGACGTCATTTTGATGAGCGACTTATTTTTCGATCCGGAAGAAATGAGCAATTTGGGAAATACATTGAAGAGAGTGAGTGGGGGAAGGAGTAAAGTATGGGCGGCGAGTGAAGTGAGAACTTGGACCGGTGAGTGTCTAAACCAGTTGGTGAGTCAAGGTTTTGGAGTAGTAGAGTTTCCGAGTCAACTCGGTGGTGGTGAACAGGATGTTTTTGCAGTGTACCACCTCATCCCACCGACCGGGGAGAGTTGCCAAGTGGATGACATAATGATTTAAGTTAACATAAAAAAGAAAAATGTGGGCTCCCAGTCCCACCCACCAAGTTTTTAAGCATAGTATCTGATTCTGAAGTGTTTCTTTCTGACAATCAAATCGTTTTATTCCACTCCAAAAATATGTTTTTTCCTTTCTAATGGCATTAAAAATAAACACTAAAAAATGTCAGGCACACTTGTAAATATGTATTCCCTCCCCTTCAAAGATACTTTGTCATATTTTTAATTTCAAAAAAAATAATAAATTTCTTTTTTTTTTTATATATTTACCCTTACTATGTTCAATAATTATTATTTCAATTTATTAATTTTTTAAAAAATTTGATATTAAATTAAAAATAATATAATCTATTTATTTAATAATTTATTATAATTTAAACAAATTTAATAATTTTTGTAAGAGAGGTAGTAAATCAAATTTAATATTTCATAAATGGTAATATTTCGATTCAAATAGAGAATTAATATTTTTTGTAATCCAAAAAATAAGTCATAATGGAAAATGTGTGTATTGTACACTGATAGAATTTACCTGAGTTATTCCAGGGACAGAATCAATGTCCTGAGAATTTTGGTGGCATTTAGCAAACGACAAATCCAACAATAAAATAGTAGAAAGCTGCAACCACCATCCATCTCTTATCACCGTAATTTGTATATATACTCAAACAAGTTTCTCAATGGTACAAATCCTTTCACGTCAGTCCCAATAAGACAATAGGGACATAGTAAGTAGATATTTAAAACAAAGCCAAATTCTGACAGGAAAACCAATTTTCACACTTACATACACCAATTCCATTTTACCTCTAAAAGTATCAATTCCCTAACAAATCGTCATCATCTAGCCAATTATAACAGAGTATAGTTACATGTCAGGAGGAGCTGAAAGGGTTAGGTGATATTCCCTCGTCATTCTGTACACATTTCCTGTTCTGCTTGCCTGTAACTAAAGGGGTTCCCCCATAACAAAATAGAAATATAAGCCCCCCACTATCTTCAAGTCTGAACCCTTTCGACAAAACCATGCCATGTAACGCTCTCCGTTGGGAAAAACTTTACCTTGTCAAAAAACATTTAGGCAGGCGATTGGGGTTATGCTTTCCTTTCTCAGCCTTGGATGTACAGCCTGCGTCTGCTCATGGGACCCCATAGCATAGCCACTGCCGACTTGTCAATTCTTTATTCTTAGCATCCCATCCAAGGGTCATCCTCTGATTATCAAACTGACCTGAAAAAGACGGCAAAGTTTTTTCTGCACTTTCTGCAGATAAATTTGGGCACACATGACAGCACAAACCAAGATGCTGAATGCAAAGTTTATAACCCATCACACTTCCATGGACCTTCAACCATTGTAGTGAATTTTCTGGTTTTGGGAGCCTTGACCTTGCAGAGGCTGCTGTGGAGACTGCAAATTTAGTGGCTGTGTGTTGTAGTGAGCAAAGGGCTGAGAGTAGAGAGAATTCATCAAGCCCTGCATACAAGTTGAAATAGGGTTTAAAAACAGGATAGGAAGGATCAATTGCCAAATTAATTGAAAAGGAGCAAAATTAAAAAAATTCAGAAGAACATTTGGCTGTGTACAAAGTGTACCCAAGGCCAAACTGCCATATATTTTGCTATTTAAATGATTTTGGCTGTTCCGGTACTTTTCAATCGGGCAGCATTAATGGCATAATAAAAACCTGGGACTGAAGCGGGTTTGGGTTGGCTATGCCAAAGTGGCTCTGTGATGATTCATCTTGTGAAGGATCATTGAAGCCAATCTGAGTAAATAGACCCTGCGATCCATGAGCCATGTAGTCCTGCATAAGAGTAGCAAATCAGGACAGATAAACAGCAGTAAAGATGTAGCAAATAACATGGTGTCTTCACTAACAAACCTGAGACATGAAATCATTTCCAGAACCAAAACGAGAAAACCCAGCTTGAGAATTTTGATTCATGAAGTTGCCCGGGAACCCACCCTGTGCTCCTTGCGTAACGTAATCAACAGCATAACCACTTTGTGATGCCTGCGAGGCAGATGGCAACATGTTCAAAAGAAGATATAGGAAGCCTCTATCCAATGGAAACATCAAAGTCCAATTATTATGGCAAATGAATTGTCCCGTCCGTGCAATTTATCCAATTACAGTAAAGCCCTTTAATTTTCCTGATTTGCTACTACCAATAAATGCCTAAGATGATATAATCAAATCTATTGTCTACTCACACTGACCCTATGAATTAATCATATGGTAAAATGAACATAGGTTTCATGTAACAACAATAATTCAAAATATAGACGAAAGACTAAAGAGAACATATTCCTCCAAATATCTCCAACCCAACAAAATAAAAACAAACAGATAAACCATATACTAATGTATTAAACAGGATGAAGATGTGATGTTTTTTTTCTTTTTCTTTTTTTTTTTTTTTTTTTTTTTTTTTTTTGGGTGGGGTAGGAGATAAATGATATAATTCTACCAAAGGCCATCAAAAAAGCCCCGAGGGTTTTTTACCTGAGTGGAGAACTCAGCAACATTATAAGGAACTTGTGATCCCTGGCTTTTGAAGTCATCACCCAGGAAGTCCTGATTGATCACCAATAAAATAAAGTTCAGAACACAATAGCATCTGCAGAACCAGTGATTTGCACATTAAGATAAGGGACATACCTGAGACATGCCCCCCATAGAAAATCCATCACGAAATGTTTGGCTCGGCCCTTGAACTGGCATCTATATGTACAGACAGGAGAATATTAGAAAGCATTAGAATCCTGCAAATAGTAAATATCTAAAAAAAAAAAAAGGGAAAAAGAAACAAAACAAGACTAAAGGTCAGGTTAAAGAATATCAAGGCTCTTTCATTTGTCGGTTTGGTTATCTATCTCGCCCTAGACTAATCAGAATAGATGACATGTAAATTTGTTAATATACAGATGCAAATCCTTAATTAATTAATCTTTGTAAACATGTGACACCCAAGTCCAAAAAAAAAAAAAAAAAAACTCTAAAAGTTAAGCTGAAATGGGCAAAAATAATTCAGCCAACGCTGGCCAAACAGAAAAAAAAAAAAAAAAAAACTTAAAAGTAGCTGAAATGGGCAAAAATAATTCAGCCAACGCTGGCCAAACAGCAAGCATGGGACAATTTTAATTACAAAAAGATGGAATCTCCATTTACTTTTAAATCTATTCAATAATAACTACCAGCAGGAATGACTGCAAATAAACAGAATTAATGAACATGCAAAAAACATGACATACATTATTAACATATCCAGGCTGAGATAGTGGACCGCCCACAGATGGCTGGCTATTTGGATTCTCAAGGGCGGGAAAGTTGAAAGTAGATCCCATATTTCCAATAGTTTGTTGCGTACTTTGCTGATGGGGAAGATGACTTCCAATAGGAGCACCAGCACTCCCACGCCCAGCCCCAAAACCTCGACTTCCTGGTGCAGGGACATGAGGAACAGCTCCAACAGGCCTGTGCACAGCTCCCCGAGTTGGAATAGCATAAGGTTGGGAAGGCGGACCACCATGAAATGGAGGAATGGGAACCCGAGGCATTGGGAAGCCAGTAGGATGAACACCAGGCTTATGGGTACCATTTGGTGGCCCAGGTGGCATATATGAACCTGTAATTAATACAGTGAATCTGGTTAATATGCTGGTAAAAGTCAACAAAACATCAATGCTGAAGATGAACATATAAATGGAAATGTGTCCTTAAGCCATATGCTACAATTGTAAGCATACAATGTATTCCTGGGACTAAATTATACTACAGAAATGCCATTAGGACAAGTGAATTCTGGCATGTATTAGCAAAATAGACTAATTATAGCATACCCCTGCCACGAGAGCTTCTTCTATCAGCATTTGGACTAGATGAGGCAACAGAACCAAAATTGTCATTAGACACAATTCCAGGTCCACCACCAAAGAAGAGCCTCCTATCATTATAGATCTGTACCAATGTATTGGCAATCAAATCAGTTTATGCTGAAGCATGTTAAAATAAAAACCAGAAAAAGAAAACAAAATAATAGTAAAATGGACAAATTAATAAGAATATCATAGGTCACAGCTGCAGCTGTCTCCTTAGACTCCATACCTTCTTGGGCTTTTGAAACTGAACCATACTCTGCTTCAAGTTATTTAGAGGTCCTTCCACCAAGCACTCATGTTCCTGATGAAGCATTTTACAAAAAAAAAAGGACAACAGTTATTTTCTAATAAGCAAAGGGCAGCATGTACCAGTAACTAACAATTGATAAACTGAAAAAGGTTCAGTATGATTCTTCATAGTTATCCTCTTATTGCTTGAACAATCTTCGTACTCAGAAATCTCAATCTAATTTCTAGTAGTATGAAGATTTCAGAGTCAAGGGAATCTTAAAATTAATTTTGCTCCCTTGGAAAAGCATAAAGTCATAACAACATTTAGATTTTAGTTTACTATATATAGGATTCTTGCACATTAATGGCAAGGTTTTACAAATTAATGCATTAGCCTCATCATTTAATAAATTTAAAGAAAACACCCAGATTTTTTTTATCAACTTCACCACCACCCCCTTAGCAATATTAGTGCCTTCCACCAAGCAATGCAAATTTTGAATTATTTTCACTGATAATCAATTAACTTGTGACATCATTTTAGAATTATCATCTAATTTCAATTACTCAGATAAAAATATTCAACCATAATTTGTATTTGAATAGGGCTGTAATTACCTAAATTGTTTTAAATACTTTATGTATTGTCTGAATAAATAAAAAAACATATAATGGCCTAAGTTCCATTATATACTTTGATTAGAATAATATTACTTAACTATCATGTCCAAGACCCAATTGAATTACTATCAAAATTTAACAATATATATATAGAAGCATAAACTAAACTGAGCAGTTTATCACATACAAGTTAAAGCTTAACGATTGTAATCTGATGGCAAATTAACTTAAAATGGATGAATGATGCCAGAAAATTGTCTTAAAAAAAGCCCAACCACAACAGATAATATATGCAAACCTTGTAGTGTGTCAATAAACTATTCCACAAAGGTTGTTTGCTGAGAACTTTAGGGTTTCCCAGGATGACAATCCCATATCTAGCACGTGTTAGAGCAACATTCAGCCTACGAGGATCATTAAGAAATCCAATACCCTGAAAAGGAGGAGCCAACAGTCAAGCACCAATGTTCTTCATATTACCATTAGAGATCCTTGAACACACATTAAATGACTAAAGCATAACAAGATAGCCTCCAAATTTCTATGCCTCCTATAAGTTTACATGTTAAAATTCAATAGAATCGGAAATGAGTAATACTAATAGAACTTGACATTTCCATAGATAAAATTACTATAATAAAATGAATGTTTTATTTTATAACAAAATAAAATTTGATAATTCTAATAGAATATTAAATTGGAAATTCTGGCAAAGAAAATAAAATCCTTGATATGACAAGAATAAAATAGAGCAACGACCATTTTTTTTAAGAGCTGGAATGAAAAAACACAGGCATCCAGTTGATCTTAAACATTATACTAGTTCTAAAAGCTGAATCATAACTTTTAATTCTCTGTTTTATCATTTAGGAAACAATAATAATAATAATAACAAGACAAAATATGCTCATTTAGGAAACAATGAGTAGGTGTCAAACAAACCTGATGTTCATTACTCCTAACACAAGACAAAATAATATAATCTTTTTCCCTTCCTTGAAATGAATCAACACTTGCAACCTGTAGCAAACATAAACCATAAAGCACTTGCAACCAAAGACAAAACAGAATCTACAGCCAAAGAATCAAAACCATTGCGAACCTCAATTTCTTTGTACAGTTGTTGTCTGAGAGCTCCATTTCTAGACATATAGTTAACTATATATGCTCTCTGACCCTCATATGGTGTTATTACCCCAATCTGTTAAATATTTGATTTGATCAAAAAAAAAAAAAAAAAAAAAAAAAAAATTAACCTATATATGCTCCCTCTGACCCTCTATATGGTGGTTAATTACCTCCAATCCTGTTTAATTATTTGATTTGAATCAATAAAAAAAAAAAAAAAAAAAAAAAGAAAAAAGAAAAACACAGTTCGTAGAAACAAGAATCTATACAATGAAAGAAAGTTTGGAAGGAAGGAGGATAAAGAAACCTGATTAGGGAGCCACACCACTCCTCAAGAAAAGTGGTTTAACAATTTTTTCAACATTGGCTGCCTCAGTACGGTTAAGATAGCGACGTTCCAAACTAAAAAAAAAAAAAAAAAAAAAAAAGAAAAAGAAAAAACACAGTTCGTAGAACAGAACTATACAATGAAAGAAGTTGAGGAAGGAGGATAAAGAAACCTGATTAGGGACCACACCACTCCTCAAGAAAGTGGTTACAATTTTTTCAACATTGGCTGCCTCAGTACGGTTTAGATAGGACGTTCCACTAGCACTTATTTCCTCTTGTCCCATCTAAAGAACAGCCATCTAGTTACAAAACATAGCTTCGAAAATATAAGAAAGCAAGAGCTCAACTGGTAGTACAACAAAAGCAATTACAGGTACATTCTTTTAAGCTTCTATCTGGAAATAAAATGTCAGAATAATTACTTCCAAACAATATTTGGCTAGAAAATCAAAACTTATCCTTGAATTTGTTGGGAGCTCCATTGAGCCTGAGCGATACATAAAAGGGTATGCCTCACCCCCTAAGTCCCCTAAACCAAGCAAAATAATAATCCTCCCCATCTATAAGAAACTTGTTGGCTAGGAATTTGGTTCAATTTCTGTTTCAAGCATCAAGAATTACAGCACTTGAACTAATAACATAATTAGTAGGTTCAAGGAACAAAATTGAATTTCTATGCATTGGAGAGAAAGTAAACAAGTTTAATGCATCTAAGCATTCAAAATGATCAGTTTTTCATTCCTAAAGTTTAGATATCTGCAACATAACATAGAGGGCAGACAGCTACAAACCTGAACATAAAAGAACATGGGACGATTAGGTACAGGCCAAGGAAAATCAATGCCCGATGATTGCCTCTCATTAACCGTCACTCCATTTTGCAGGGTACCTTCATAAAAGCTGTTGGATGGAAATTCTGAGAGAGATGGATGCATACGGTATTGAACCTGATATTTGAGCAAAAGATAACAGAACAGATTAGTGTTGCAGCATTCTTCAACAAACAATTTTAAGAAATACAAAGTTGAAGACAAAAAATAAAAAAATAAAAATTTCCTATCCTTGCCACTTTTAATAGAGAAACAATTGACACCATGGTTTATATGCTCACATATCTATAACAATGAGAATTAGTCACAACCATGATATCGGGTGTTAGCAAACATAGTTTTATTATCAATATTAGCATCCGCATCAGATTAAAATTACCAAAACACCTATTCATGGTTTAAAAAAAGTGGTCTCCAATTGTTAACTTTGCAATTTACCAATGACTACTTCTTGTTTAAAAAAAGTGGGCTCCAATGATGTTCACTTTGCACTCTAATAACATAACTTTAAGATATGCATTGTCCAATGACATGTGAAGAGTAGTTCCCAACAATGTTAACTTTGGATCATAACCGTACATCCAACGATCTAAGAATAGTTTTTTTTGTACTAAAGTTATTACCAGCATCTAAATTAAATTATTACATGTAACAATCATACATATAAATCAGATATATTTTCTCCACAAGTACACTAGAAACCAGTAATCCACTATGAATACCTCGGGATAGTTCACATCCATAAAGAAAAAACAACAATACAAACACACTAACAGGTGCGATTGTGAATAGAGACTAATCTAAGAGCATATAAATAACTGGTGCATTACCTGCAGCCTTATTGGTTTCACACCCAGCAAAACAAGACGTTCAAAAAGAGACTGAGCTAGCCCAGCACGAGCTGCTTTCTTGCACATAATGACTGGACCGAGCTGACAATGGTCACCAACAAGGACAACCTAATAGAGAACTTTGCATTAGAAGAAAGATCATGTGTAGGAAATTCATGCTTACATGTTCATGTTTGATCTCAAGTACCTGCTTTGCCCCAAGAACTAAAGGAATAAGACACTCCGGTTCTGTTGCTTGAGTAGACTCATCAATAAGCACCTGAAGAGTAAAGGATGTAAGCCTCGGCACACTCAGTAATAGTCAAAGGTTCACCAAAAATGCATTTCAACCTGGCGGAACCTAAAATTTGCAAGTCGAGGATCTCCAGCACCAACACAAGTACAACAAATGACATCAGCACTTTGAGAAATCTCCCTCTCTGTTGCACGCTTAAGTGCTTTGTATTTCTTCTCATCACTGCTGGACAGTTCTCCTGTTCATATAGAAAGAGGTGATCAGTGGAAAGAAAAAAAGAAAAGAGATATCAATTAGAACAAGCTCAGAAATCCACTTTAAAGCTTTTATTGAAAATTGCATTTCCAGCCAATAAAGTGCAATCCAAAACACAAATGGCAACAGAAATCTTAACATTTTCAGAAAATAAGAAGTCTCTACAGCATTTCTACTCTATTCTAGAAGCAGGTTAAATTTTGTACTCAAAAGTTTTTCATATAATTAGTGATAAGTCAGAAAAGCCTAACATAAAACCAATAAGGAAACAAGCCAAACAATCTTACATAAAGTCAATCATAAATCAAGTGCCACGGCCAAAAAAAGATTCCTAAATTAAACAAATCCACCCCATCTATCTATCTATATAAATGTATAAAAACTCAAGCAAGTTTGCTTACGTGGCATAATATTGAGAAACTTAGTTGCTGATATGGCATTTTTTATTTCTTAAATTTTTTGTTATCGTTTTATTTATTATTTAATTATCTAATTAGAAGAAATTAAAATAAAACTCTTCATTTTCATTTTCCAATAATTAATAACCATATAATAAATTTATTGTATCAATCAAAAAAAACTCTTTGGTTTTCTGCAATAATTAAAAATTCAAACAATAAAATCATTGTATTAATAATAGAATTCTTTAGTTTTTTTTCCATAATTAATAACCATAAAATAAATTATTTTAAAAAATAATTATTGAAAAAATATTAATTAATTTATTACATCATATTAATTTATTTACATTTTTTCAATCAAAATTAACTCATTATTAAGTATTATATATTTTCTTAGTTTTCTTTATTCATTTCTATCATCTTTTATGAATATTTTCAATTTATCAAGAAATAATTGTATAGTTTTCTTTATTCATTTCTATCATCTTTTATGAATATTTGTAATTTTACCAAGAAATAATTGTACTATTAAGCAAATTGATGTAGTTGTTTATAGATCAAATATAATAAATAATCAATAAAATAAATTTCCAAATAACTTTAAATATAAAAATGATACAGCTCTAAATTATAGCAAATAAGATATATGCAAAAAACCTGCACAAAATGCAGGTGTATGTCTAGTTAGTAATGTGAAACCCAAGATCATAGCCAAACAAAATCAGAGAACAGCAGACCTTGTTCATCTTTCAATTGTTGCAACTTGTGAAGTTCGCTCTTTTCAGAAGTGTCAAGATGTCTAACCTGCCAAAACAAATATGAAGCAGTGGAACTATGACAGGAACAACAAAAATGAGGGCAAAAGAACATGATATAGTAAGATGCCAACAAATCAACAAACCTGATAATGAAGGGTTAGATGCTCAACAGGGGAACTTACAGCTTCCCTTGATTTTGCACATAGTCGAACAACCTTCATTGCAGAAAAATACATATCAGAAAGCAGATGCAATGCATTCTTTATTAATTAATCACAAAGTCTGAAATTATACCATGATTAATTTGATTGTCTAAAAGGCTCCTAGTATGTATTATCTTAAACTTGGTATTTCACTAATAAAGCAAAATTGGGAAAAAAAGATCCAAATGACTAATAAACAGGAGCATAGTTAGTCACCTACTGTAAACATAAAGCGAAAATGATGCTTTAGAAGTTGTCAATTATATAAACAAATGCAAGAAATTCACCTTCATCAAGGGGACAAGAACAAACCCTAATATACAAACAAAACATTGGTATTTCCAGAGATTATGACATGTAAAAGATCAGGCCAAGCAATTTTGACAATTGTGAGAAGACAAATACTTAGAAGAAGAAAAAAAAAGCAGCAACCAAGGAATGAAATTAACTCCACATTAATTAGCGAGCAACCACATTAAGAAAGAATTCTTGGCCGGACACAAAAGAACAATGCAACACTTCAAGAACCATAATGTTTCTGTGTTTCCTAAGCCAAGTAGGCATGCGTTTCCACTTTCACCTTTAAGTGGGCATTTGGTCGGTAAGATTCAATTCGATACAAGCCAAATCAAACCAGTGCAAACCAAATAAACCAAATTTTTGTTCAAGAAAATCCAAAAAACCAATCTACCAGTTCGGTTTTCAATTTGTCTTATTTTTTGATTTTTATAGGTTCATTTTTAAGATTTTCTAGAAACCAAACCGAACTTAATAAGTTTCAGTTTCTTCAATTAAAACTGAATCTAAACTGAATTTTTAAAACCAAACTGAACCATCACTGAACCAGATGGTTCAGATCAGTTGATTTTACCAATTATTGTCCATAGCCCCACCTTTAAGCCAGTGGCACTGATCTTCTCAGCCAGTTGGTCAACAGCTACATTACTTGGAGCACATACCAAAACCTGGTGCAACAATGTAGGTAAATAAGGAAGTGATCACATATTAAAAATTAAATTACATAAAGCATTTTAGAGAATATACCTGTCCTTGACCCTGTTTGGCCATGTGATAAACAATGGCAGCAGAGGTGACAGTTTTTCCAGTGCCAGGAGGACCCTGAATCAAACTTATAGGTCTCTGAAGAACACTCTTTACAGCAAAAACCTATCAGGGGAGAAAGGTATGGGTTACTAATGGTGGTGCGCTATTTGAAAATGGGATTTCATTTCAAATTTGAACCATAAAAAGATGATTGTAACATGTTCCACAAAAAATTAAATTTCATAACCAAATGCAAAAAAAAATGAGATGCAAAATTCACCCATGGATTGGAAATGCTCTAAGGGATTTCAAAGGCATTGATCTTTTACATCATGGGAAGACTATCATTAGTTAGCATATCAATAATTAATGGCAAAAAGAGTTTCAGATTTCTTGACAACAATGAGGGCAGCATAAGTTTAAAACATTTACATACACATTCAGTTGATATGTGGGAATGGGTCATTTTCCTTGGCCAGCCGCCATGCAGGAAGGGAAATTTAGAAGTACAATATATGAACAGTTCCCAAAAAGCTTCAACACTGTAATTCTTATACCGATCCACATAGGGGTCTATAATTCGATCGGTATGGAATGGAATGACCCTCGTTCCAATCATTCCCAAATATTTTGGAATTTAAATTTCATTCCATTCCATTCCAAACATTCTTTTGGAATTTAAAATGTCACTCCATACCATTTTATGAAAATTCAGTGTGGAATTCCGTAATTCCAAATTTTTCGACCGTAAACATAAATCTAATCTATTATAATATATTTAAGATATAAATTTTTAAATTTAATAAGAATAAACAATATATTTATTTACAATCAAATATAAGTACAAAAAAATAATTAAATTGTAATAAAACAACAAATTAATATTTCATATGATTGAAAATTTAAGTTCATTGATGAGGAATGAAGACATACTTTCACGACGACTTCCCATTTAATTAGTAATAAAGTAGCAACAAATACAAAAAATAAAAAATTGGTACGACCATGAAATAGATACCATAAACCCAAAAACAATAAATTAAAAAGAGAAATAAAAGCAAAAAACAAACCAAAAGAACAATTTGTTATAAAAGATTTAGAAGTGTTAAAGTGATCACTAAAAGGAAAAATTTTCTTGTCAAGCATAACAGAAAAGCATAATACTTTTCGTGATCACTTGACAAGAATCAAAGAAGATCGATAAGAAACATGTAAATTGTGAATCTGTGAAGCTGACTCTTTTTTTTATTTTAACTTTTGGATTTTCAAGCCTGTATCAATTATTAATTAAAATATTTTGTTAAATTACATCGTTTTACAATGGGATAGGAGTTTTTTTAATATTAAATTTTAATAATATTTTACTCAAGTTTAATATTTTATTACTAAAATATATAATTAAAAACTAAAGAATATAATGATGGAAGTTCGGTATATGGATTGGAATATGGAAAATTTTCTATTATGTTTCCACTCCACATTCCATATACCTATATTTTAAAAAATATATTCCATTTTCAATTCCATATTCCAAAATTCCATTCCAAATTGAAATTTGATTTGGAATTTTCGTTTTGTATTTGTATATCCCAAACCAATTTACACCCCTATTCTACGGCATTCAAGAATCTAACTATTTATGCATGATCAAGCCCATGAAATGTAAGATTTTTAATAAACAGCATCTCCCAAAACAGAATGAGACACCAAAGCACAATCAAGGGAAGTGAAAATCACATACTTGGGATGCATTCAGCTCCGGAAGACCAGGTGCACCAAAACGGCGTGGGAGTGTATTACGAACATTTTGACTCTCAACCTCATGTCCCAGCAAATGATGGTATATGTATCTGCATAGAAAGCAGCAGTTTTAAAAAATCGGAAACTATATGGTCCAATAATAACATAAAAGACTCCATATGAACTCTGACACCAATAAGGGATAAGAGCCAACAAATACAATGAGAGCAAAAGATTAGCCTGCTGGAAAAGCATATGGAGAGGCTGAGCTCGTAGAGGCCACCTAATTGGGTTTTGTCTGCCCCAACATGACATAGCAAAATGCTTGCCAATAATTGAAGCGTATAAAAATAGGTGCAAGCAAAACTGAAACAGCCAACCTACCCACTAACACTTGTTTCATCCACTGCAAAAGTTTTCATTGCCCCTTGCATCCTATCAAAGCTCGTACTCTTCCATACAAAATCGACACTGAAACCATGGTTTATATCAACAGGAACTCCCTGTATAGAACTCTAACGGTTAGCTCTTGGTCAAAGTCACTGAAAGCCAGAAGATAGAAATAAGTGTGTCAGAATAACTACCTGACTAGCACGAAGCTCAAGTGCTACCTCCTCCTGTGCAGTTAGCTTGATCTGAAATCACAGAAAAGAAACTTTAGCATTGGCAATACGGTACCCTGTGAAGATAAGGAATAAACTACAAAACACTAACTGTCAATCACAAAATATGAAGTGTTTAATTCAAAGAGAGAAAAGCATATAATATTCAGATATGAAGCGAGGTCATACCACATGCCCAACTGACTGCCATGCTGGATGAGCAGCATCTCCAGAATACCGTAGTCGCAGCTCATCCCCAGGTACAAGACGCAACTCATTGTCCTCCTAGAATTTCAGGAAAGTCAACTCAGTTATCATGAAACAAGGGATATTAAAACAAAACATGTGACTAACAAAACCTAAACAGTCAAAAGAAAATAGCAAAAGTGCTAAACCCAACAACAAAACTTAGGATAGATTAACAGAAGCAAGAGTAAAGCACCTTCGGAAACACAAAATACGCAATTCGCTTCTTGTTAAGACCAATGTCCCATCGAATAGTTACATTGTCCTTGCTTTGAGACTCTTTCATCATCTACAAGAAATTACAATGTTGGAGCACAAGGTTTGAAGACAAAGCAACACCAAAATGCATGTTCTAGTATGCAGAATCAGAATAAATCCAAAAAAAATTGAAAAGTGCTGCAAAGAAAAAACCCCAAAACACAAGTAACAAAGACAAAAGAGCTGCAAAGTTATGATTCATACTTTATCATAATCAGCCTCAAGCTTAATTAGCGGAGCAAACACATTTTGATACTGCAAGGAAAGAAATAATCATCATCTTATTAGGAACTAGCAGAAATCAACTATTATGTGTTCTAGCCTATTGATTTTAATATAAATGTACTGAATTTGACAATACAAAGGCACCTGATATGCATCTTCGTACTTCAATGCCACTGGCTGAGGCTCATCGTCAACACCAGGCTTCTCAAGATCTTCAAGGGTAGCATCAGGATTTGTTTTCCAAAGTTCTTCTACTTTATTTATTTGCTGAGCACTAATTTGACGTGCCCTCAGCTGCTCCTGCTCTGAAGGTATCTGCAAAGTACAAGTTTACAACAGATTAAAAAGGTTTCTTTGAAACTTTAGATTATTAATTACAAAGAAATGCCTCCACCAACCTTAACAAGCCACTGTAGAAAGCACCTGTCATCAATGAGGGGGCACCACTGGCTTAAATCCCAGTTCATGTCCTTCAATGCATTGACGTTCAAGCAAGGTTCCCGGCAAAGAAGAACAACAACACTTTCAGTCTTGGCTGATATAAATCCAAGAAGGAAAACATTTCTACATCCACAGTTGTAACATTCAAGTATCGTCTCGCCCAGGGGGCTGTCTTTGTGGAGGCAGACTTCCTTGTGTTTTGCACGAACCTACAAAAAGATCCAACCAAACAAACTAAACTCCAAACAGCAATAAATTAGGTAAACCTAATTAAGCTAGAAAGCTGATAAAAAAAAAGTGCAACCTGGTATATATATATATATATTTAATAAAGAAAATAGCTAACCCTTCATAAATACAATCATTTTAAGACACATTCAGAAACTGGCAAAAATATATTTTCATATGGAAGTGCAAAATTAAAATGATGACAGAGCATGAAATGAAATATATCAGCAAGCTGTAATTACGCCACAGCCGTTTCATTAGGATAGAAGGCTGAGGTACCAATAACAATGACTTTATGAACCAACATGCAAAACATTGTCAACGCAGAATACATGCTTCAATATTAGCTTGACTTCACTTTAATCTTCATACATACCAGCAAAAAAAAAAAAATCAATGCCATCATTAACAGAAAGTCTTAATAGTTGCACAATCTATCAGCCCACATCCCAAGCACAAAAGTTTCAAGCAAACTTTCCTATGTTTCTACTGTAAGCAATATCAAATACAGTACCTCTCAAGAAAGTAAACCCGAGGAAACTTCAAAATTTGCATTCCCCAATTTTATGCATTTCCACCCCACATAATATACAATCAATTTCAATTATAAAGTAGAAAATATGGAGCCCCCCAGTACTGATTTCAAAATTGTTCGACAGACTTGCTGGTTATGGAAATTCAAAATGAATTTATCCTAATTCACTGAAGTCTAAACATTAACTGAATTTGGCTAAATTAAAGTTATTTAACTCCTAGATATCAAATTTGCACTTAACACATATTCATGCCATGCCTTGTATTCCTTGCAATACTTCAACAATAATTTCGACCAAACCACTCCAATTATAATTATATACATTCTATAAAATCCATAAAAAATAATCAAACTACTTCCTCACTCCCCCCCCCCAAAAAAAAAAAAAAAAAAAAAAAAAAAAAAAAAAAAAAAAACTTAAACACATATTCATGCCATGCCTTGTATTCCTTGTAAGCAATACTTCAACAATATTTCGACCAAACCCTCCAAATTATAATTATATACATTCTTATAAAATCCATTAAAAATAATCAAACTACTTCCTCACCCCCCCCGCCCAAAAAAAAAAAAAAAAAAAAAAAAAAAAAAAAAGAAAACCACTTAATTCTTATATCTACAGGCAAAAAAAAAAAAAAAAAAAAAAAAAAAAAAAAAAAAGAAACCACTTATTCTTATATCTACAGCAGAATAAAAATCCCCATATACCACAACAAACGTAGAGTAAGAAATGCTTACCAGGTGATTGACAATATGCGAGCCAGATGTGTTCCCTCTAGAATTACAAAACCACTTTCTGCATGACGGAACATTGCACCTCACAACGCACGCTGGGTTTGAAACACCGCAATACCTACAAGCATGTTCCGTAAAGTCTCCTTTCCCGAACTCATATCCATCCTCGTCCCCAGTCTCCTCGAAATTCAACCCTCCCATACTGGCTACTATCCCATCAACAGCCTGAGTATTATTCCCACCCCCGCCGCGTGCGGCTTTTGATGACACCGGGGAGGCTGCGGGAGAATCAGAATGATGATCAGAGGAGGACGCAGCGGCGCGGTGGTCGGAAGTGGCGGGGTCCACAGCGGAAGAGGAGGAGGTGGCGGCAAGCGAATCGGAAGGAGTGGGCCAGGCCACTGGAGAGCGGAATTCGGGATAATCGAAGTCAGATTCGCCTTGAGTGTTGAATTCGAGGAAGGTGTAGGCGTCAGTTCCCGTGTCCGGCTGCGACGCCGTTTCGTAAAGGTTGCTCTGCTCTGAATCCATGAAGATTGTAAGGAGATACAGCTTTTTGGTGGTGTTAATTTGTTTGGCGAATTGCAGGATTAGAGGGGTTTTGAGATTGGAAGAGAAAGAGAAACAGAAGGGGTTAGGGTTAGGGTTAGGGTTTGGTGAGCGAAACGAATAAAGGTGAAGAGAGAAAGGTTGAGAAAGGGAAAGTCTTCAATGTGTAATGTCGCGGAGGAGAAGAAAGTGATGAAACGCGCTGCACGCGCGATCATGATTTGGTGAACGTGGGGTATCATAGGTCCCTTGGTTGATAGATGTCACGTGAGACAGACAGTTTTGCAAGATGAATAGGCACGTGAGTATACGGAGTACCTCTTTTCCATTATTCTCTATTTATATAATCTACAAAATAACGCACAATTTATGTTGTGAATTGCGAGTAATGTATAATTTGCATAAAAATCAAATTTTTTTACAAATTTATCATTCTGACCTTGTACCAAAAAAAAAAACAAAAGTCTAGCCCAAAAAAAGAGTTAAATATTTGATTTAGATTAAATGTAATTAAAAATTTTAAATATTTAAGTTAGATCAAATATACAAATAATAAAATAGTTTTCACCCTTATTCCGTTAATTTAATATATACTATGTAGACCTGTTTGCTTCCGGTTTCTCTCTATTATGAGATAGAGCGGTTTTGCCAAAACTTTATTTGAATGGAAATTCATGGAGTGTCTCGCATTCATCTTCTGAATTGGTAGAAAATCCAACATGCTCAAGACGATGGAGGTTCGGGAATTTGCAACATGAGAGCAATGGCTCTTTTAGGCAAGTTGGTTTGGCATCTTAGTAGAGATGGTAACTCTCTTTGGGCTAAAACTATTATTAATAAGTATTATCATGATCATTTTTCTTAAAGTTGTCAGCATTCTCACATTGAATCTCATATCTAACGAGAAATTAATAATGGATTGCAAGTGGTTCGAAAGTAGGTTATCAAGGATATTAGAAGTGGAGTTGATACTAGTTTTTGGACTGATTATTGGTTATCTGGTGGTCTATTGATTGATTATGCTTGCTCACCTACAGATGATGCCATAAAGTCTCTCAATGTTCATCATTATCTGAACAGTTCTACGGGTTGGCATTGGGATCTTTTAGAGGATAAGTTATCAGTGTCGATGTTGAATAGCTTGTCTCCTTGGTTTCTTTGTATGGATGTTAATCAATTGGATGATATAGTGGTTCCTTTACTGTGAAGCATGCATATAACCCATTAGTTAATCATAGGCCTTCTTCTGGATCCAAGTTATGGAAGATGTTTTGAAAACTTCCTGTGCCTCAAAGGATGAGACTTTTCCTTTGGCAAGTTGCTCATGAGAAAATTTTGTGTAATATTGAATGATGCAAAAGGGATTTTATTCAGAATGCATCTTTTAGTGCTTGTGGTTCGCACTATGAAACAATTTTAAATGTTCTCCGTGACCGTCTCTAACGAAATGATTTGAAATTTTTTTTCCTATTATGGAGTTGAGTGTTGATTTCACAACCATGTCTGTTCATAGGGGTTGTAAATAAGCTGAACCGGCTCACAAGCTATTTGAGCTCGTCTCGAGAAGAGTTAAAAAAAAAAGCTCTGCTCAAAATTGCTCAGTTAGCAAACGAACCAACCCTAATGATGTTCAGCTTGAAAACTAGTCGAGCCTTATCGAGCTTTTATATATACATTTATGTAATATTATTTTAGGTTACTCGAGCCTCGAACCGAGCTCAAGCTTAAAATTTTCTAAGTTGAACTAAAGCCTCAAGTCCAGCTTTCATCGAGCTCAAACTGAGCTCGAGCTTTCATCGAGCCGAGCTCAAGTCTAAATTTTTAGGCTCGTTGATTTTCAAGCTGAGCTAAATTCTATCGAGCCAAGCTTCGAGCCTAGTAGGTTCGAGCTCGGCTTGCATTTCACCCCTATCCGTTTAGCAACGATTGTTAAATAATCCCTCTTCGTTGGAGATATGCTCATTTGGCATTCTTTACAGTATCTTTTTTGCAATGTATATGTGGTGGATTTGGAAGGCTAGAACCAACAGGATCTTTGGGCATACAAATATTGTTGATCTCTCCTAGAATTTCTTATCTCAGAAAGTATTGGATGGGAATAAAGCCTAGGGCAATGATTTCAGATTATAAGGGGTCATCATGTTTCTTCTCTTCAATTAATTTTATAGGTTCTTGCTCTAGATGATTAGACAACAATTAATACTGATGGGAGTGCCTTTAATCAACCTGGTCTTGCTACTTGTGCTAGATCATTTTTGCTTTTGGAATGGTCAATGGATTTTAGAATTTTCTTTACTGTTAAGTGTTTGCTTAACTTTAGATGCTGAGTTTTGGACTGTATATTCTGCTTTGAAAATTGCATGGGACAAAGGTTGGAGGAAGGTACAGTTGAGTGTGATTCACAGTTTGTAGTAGATATGCTTCCTTCGCGTGTTGTTGCTAATTTGGAAATAGGAAATTGTTTGAAGCTCCTATTAGTCTGTTGAGGCAAGATTGGGATGTTTAAATTACCAAAATTTTTAGGAAAGCCAACAACGTTGCAAATAATTCAGCGAAGGCTGCTGCAATTGAGAACAATTCCAGCTCTTTGTTGCTCCTCCTGCTAGTGTGTGAGATTCTTTGCATGTTGACAAAGTTGAACGCAATTGTGTGATGTAATTGAGTGTATTGCCTCCTTTCAAGTAAAAGAAAAATAGCTTTCACCCCAAATTTTCAATATAATCAAATACATTTTCTAATTCTATAATTTTAAAATCAAATATTTTGTTTAACTGTTGACAAGATGTTGTAATTTTTATAATTATTTTTATATTTTTTGATAGTTTTTCATTCCTAATTTAAAATTTTTAAATAATTCTTATTAATTAATTTTTTTTAAGAATTATTTTTAAAAATTGAGCTTTTTGTTCTTTTGATGTAATTTTGGAGAATAAATTTTATTTTTAGACAGATTCCATATTAATTTCAAAATAAAGGGGCAAATTGGAGAATAATTTTCTTTTGACTGTTGGAGCTTATCTTATAATTTCTTAATCTAATTGAATAATGAATTTTACTCTTTTTTCCATAATATTTTTTTAATACAAACATATAGGCTCCAACATATATATCACGGTTCAACATCACCAACACATAGAAATTCATCATTCCGTCGAAGATTATTTAGCCTATTTGGTGCAATGAATGAAGAAATTCGTATCGAAACTCATCCTATTCTTCAACTTGTCCCTCCATCTATAGAGTTTCCTCGTTTTCTAACACCAAAAGAACTACAGAGGCGAAGGAGACGTGAAATGGCATCTAGACGTATTCCAGTTGAAGTCCCACAAATAGACGATATTCCTCAAGTCCGCCCCCTTGTGACATATAATTATTATGAAGGTTATCGCGGTAATATGCTTGACACATCATCTTCTGCACCATAACCTGAGTGGAGTTTACCATTTGCAGCGTTAGAAATGCCATCGAACATTCACATACTCTGATGATGGAAACCCAACAAACCCATACTTCTTTTTTCGAAATAAGCGAGGCAATGCCATTTCAATTTTACAATACCTACTTCTTTCGACACACGTGATGATCTACATCTCATGCTTGACGCTCATTTAATGATTTTTTTGAGATGATGATGATACTCGATCAACAGACTCATCTGACATTTTTGTAGCTCACAACAACCATTTGTGAATGTGGTTCAAGCTCCTCGCATGAGTGTCGATATAAATATTAAGCACGAAGAAGAATATCAAGGTATTAGAGAAGATGAAGTATGCCGAAATCCACATCATAATATGAGGCCTCTAAGGTGTGGTACGCAAGGATATGTGGGTAGGCATTAATATGATTAATTTTTCATGTATTAGTTATTAAGACACTTTATTACTGTTGGTAACTTTTAACTGTGTAAGAAAACTTATATTGTTATTACTTAAGTTGAAACAATTGTGAACCAAAACTACTAGATCATACATGTGTTTTGATGAAAAAATGTTTTGAGTGAACAATTATTTTTTTCTACTGAAACCACTATTTAAAGGTAACTAAAAAATTTGCAATATCTAATTTTATATTTAACATGCAACTATTTTTATTATAATTGTTTCAAGATTTTTTCTTTGCTTAAAAAGGTTTTAAAATACCAATAAATGTTGGAATGAGTGGTTTCGCACTCTTCAATCTTAAGTAAGGTCAATGGATTGATCCTTATAAAAGAGCAAATACTCGCTGGAAGTAGAAGATATTGGTAAAATTAAAATTTTAAATGTCTAATTACTTTTATATCTAGTTTAAAAATTATTTTTAAAAAATATATCCAATTAAATCATAAAAAATTAAATAAAATTTCATAAATTAAAAAAATAAAATATTGAATAGGAAGAGAGCTCTTCTAATTACTTTTATATCTAGTTTAAAATTATTTTAAAAAATATATCCAATTAATCATAATATCCAATTAAATCATAAAAAATTAAATAAAATTTCATAAATTAAAAAAATAAAATATTGAATAGGAAGAGAGCTCTTGGATTTTTTTCATGATTTCATCTTTATTATAAAGATTTCATTAGATTAAAAAAAGGAAAAATTTTTGTATATGATATTAGTCAAATATAATAATATGTAAATAATCCAAATAAATGTACACCATCATCTAAAAAAATCAAAGAGAAAGAATATATTTAAAAAATTTTATTTTAATTTCATTATATTTAATTAACATAGTCTAAAAGTAAAGTGTTTATCCATATTTTAAAAAATTCAAAATATAATTAATTAAAAAAATTTAAATTTGATTTTCAATACCTGAATTAAGGTTTTCATCTTACCTTTTAGAAAGTAATATCACATGAGAACTTACAATTAGGAACATCAAAATCTATTAATTATGAAAATTATTGGATAGTAATAATGCAAGATCAAATAGAGAAATGCATGTACAAATTTTCTCCAATTAAAAAGGAAATAAAAAATATAACTAAAAGGATCCTTAAAATGATAAATGGCTTCTCTAATTAAAATGTATAAAAAATCTAACTAATTGATATATTAGGAATTCCAAATTATTCAAAGGTTGTTATAGGAACTCTTATTATTTTCGCCTTTTTCCCACATTTATATATAACTAGTCTTTTATATGATGTGTGTAGCATGTTGACTATGCTCGTTATATACTCATTTTTTTAT